TATCCGCCAAAGGCACTACCCATGCAAATTTACTGACAACGTCAACGACGAATAATGAATACCATGTATTGTCATTAAAAAAAAAACTTTTTCCTTCTCGTATACCCCTTCGGGTCTTTACGATTTGTTCCCTTCCCACCCCCCAAACCCCCCGTACCGCATTTGCCGAAGGGTGGGAAAAACCTCATTCGAGGGGAAAAACCTGCCCTGGTACAGTCGTCCTTTTGACAAGACTACCGCTCGACAGTGAAACTGTGAGATTAGAGCGCTATAAATTTTGACCGCCGGTGCCCGGGATCGAACCTGGATCGTTGGCATGCTAGTCTAGCACTCTAACCGCACGGCCACTACCGTCGGTATGTACTGTCATTATATGATTTTAATTTTTGCAAGGCGATGAAATCTACTTTCCACACGTCGTCTATCGTGTCCACATTGTAGTGCAGTCGGGGAAAACGTTTCAAAAATTTATCTTGCGAGCAATCACGTATCGGTGTTCATGTAGTCGGCGGTGCGTGTGCTGTCCAGAAACTTTTGTTACCAACGAATTCTCGCGGTGTATTTATATCCCGTAAGAAACGTGCAAATATGTCTCTTCCGGTTGCTTTGATTGTTTGTCTATGTCTCAATGAGTCATTCACCAAGTCAACAATATTAGAACCAGGTATACGCACGCCGTCGACTTGCACTAACCTGACGGATATATATACTTTTGTGGCGCAGCCGATATGATGGAATCTTCGTCGTATGGATGTAATCGGCGTTGCGGAGCAGGGTCCTGTTCTTCACCCTCGTTTCTTCCCGTGAAAAATAAATATCGCCTTAGTGCGTCCTGGTATAATCCACTTTTCAGCAACATTCTTCGTTGTTGAAGATTTTAATATGTATGCTATTTCAGCATCTAATCGTGAAGTGGGATCCCCCGGAGTTTGAACTGTCTGTGGTGCTCGTTCATGTTCTGCATGTTGTTGGTAAACTCTATCAAAATTATCGTGAAGTACGAGAACCATTTTACGGCCATGCTCCATATCAAAATAATTTTGAGACCAATGCGCTAATAATAGGCCCGAGAATGGATGGTAAAAAACTCCCGCCTTTTTGGTTGACAATAATTTTCTTCTTCTGTTTTAAACTTTTATGTAATTTTACCAATTTGCGAAGAAGAACTTCGTGTTTTGACAATTGTTTCTTCTCGGCAGGTTTTATAGGAACGTTCCCGTTTAGAATATTTAATGCGCATTCGCAAATGCACTTGATAAGCTTAAGATCAGCGGTTTCAATTAAGGCGCGACGTTGTGGAGGAGACGCCTCGTAGATTGCTTGTAACAAAATTGTGTTTTTCTTGCCAAGCAGACGACAAGCTGTTTTCTGTGTTGACTTCCCCATTACATACACGGAGAGAAAAATTTTCTGGCATCTAGTAAATCGGTGTTTTTGCAAACAAAACCACTGCGTTCAATGAAATTTCGGTTCGTTGGAAAATGTTCGTATTTGATGGAATCTTTTTATTTTTCAAAATTGAAATTGAAAGTGAATCAACTTAAGCCAGTAATTTCTTGTTGGAAAACTGTTATATTGCTCGGTATGGAACGACTGGTTCCTTATAAGACTAAGTAATATTTGACTACATCTATGAGTTGTACTTTCCATCCAAAAAATATTTTGTTGAAGGTAGTGGTGGACTTTCATTATTGAAAACTATTATGATTAAATCTGGAACAATATCATCGTTCTGAAACGATAAGATTTCAATTCCATTGAACTATGAATTATTTGATTGAATACAGACGCTCAAAGATGTCATTCGTTTCTATATTTCAATGGATGTTTCTGTCATTTCCTTTAAATCGAACCAAATGATTTGTTTGAATAATGCGGCCAGTCAGACCAATATTTCATTGCGTTGGTCAGTATGTCATTTAATTTGAATTCTGATGATTTACTCTTTATGGAAGCACATGTTCATTAGAATTCAATATTATCATGAACGTGTCATTTGATTCCATACGCGATCGAACCAATGAATTCTCATTTGAATGGGAAAACTTATTGTGTCGTGATTAGAATGAAATCATATTTCATTTAATTTTTATTATTCAACCTAGGAAAAAAAGTATACTTGAACCAAGTATTTTCATACTTGCTTCAAGATCAGTGTATACGTGATTTTTACCCGCACTGCCTCAACATGGGAGTCGGGAAACTTCGGGAGAAATCGGAAGTTCATTCTTTGGCGGTGAAAACATTCGTTGGCGCTCACAGCGATTTGAAATACTTTTTGACTTGGCTCAAAGCAATTTCATTTTCGATCGAATTTTTCAAAGAAATGAGTGATTCGGGAGAGGGGGGGGGGGGGGTCTTATTGGGCACAGTCACCGGTCACCGTGATTTTCGTCAGTTTTTTTGCGGTCTTGATAGGCGTAAGATCTGTCAACACGATCCCTGGTCGATTATAGTTTTTTTTTTTAATAATTTTTATTTGTTCAATTACAATTGTGCAGTGCTTTTAAGGATATAAATAGTGACTAAGGTAAGTCATTTTTTTTCTAAATACTAACGAAACAACGCCATGCGATAATAGCACAATACAATTTATTTTACAATTTTTTGCATATTTCCAGATTCATCAATTGCTGTATCTTCGACTCTGGAGAATTAGTCGCTCTCCGCTGGCTCAACGGAGGTGCCCCGAATAAAAAACAATTGGTGGCGATTTTCATTTTAATTCACGGAAAGTCCAGTGAGTGAGAAGAAGGATACAGTCGCGACGATACTCAGTAATCTCCTTAGTAAGTTGGAATACTTTTTTTCTTGAATGGAAACAATTTTTTTTTGCGACTGAATTCCTGGAAGTGCTGAAGGCGAAGCAGAGAGAGACAGACATAGACATACTCGTCCGTCTTTTGGTGGTTCTAAACAATCTGGGCAATCGATTTTTGCTTATTTAAATTTTTTTGTTTTTCGTTTGAATTGGCGAAGGCTCTGTGCACGAACGTGCGGGGGTAAGCGACGAGATGATGAGGGGGGGGGGGGGCTGGGGGACAATTATGCCATTATTTGGTAATCGTGTCGAGTCTCCTTCTTGATATTCCGTCCGGTTCTACAGAGGTCATAATATCAAAAAGATTCGATATAAAAACAAAAAAATTCTCTCGTAGCGATTTCCTAAAATCGAAAGACAGGATTTTTTTCTAGAATTGTTTTACGCCGCGGGGGGAGGGGGGGATTTACTTGGAAGAAATTTTGTTTTCTTCACAGTCTTGAGGGAGACGGTAGAGAAGACTCTCAGTCCACTTTTCGTCGTTGTCGCTGTTGATGTTTTGCCTTATTTTTCTCCTGTAACATCTTCCTATAAAACAGTGAGTTCTAGCATTCTTATGGCGACTGAAAACACGGGCAATTTTCTGAAGTCTTTTGACTCTGAGGACTGTATTGATTTTTTCGGATGTAAGTGATTTTTTTAAAATAAATTGCGTGAAGGTGGGGGGGGGGGGGGAAGTAATCCAATGTCTCATTTTTCACTTTAGGTTTCTTTTTCTACTTTTTGCAATTTTTCCATTTTTTTCAAGGTTTTTTGATGAAACATTGGGGCTGCTTGACTTTTAGATTGTTATTTGCGTTATAAATTTGAAAAATTCAACTTTTCCCTTTTTTCTTCAATTTTTCTTGCAAAAATGAGAAATTTCCTAGTCCACTTCCGCCCTCACAGTTTCAGTGACTTTAACTTATTATTAATTTTTTTTTCCAATCCGACATTTTCTCATTTTCCACTTGTTCCCTCCTGCCTGAACTTGCCGCAGAATTCTTTTGAAAAGGCAAAATTGTTGACTCTGTTTCTCCTTCTTTTAATTTTCTTCAATTTCACTAAATCTGAAGGACATAGCGTTTTTTTGTTGTAATATTGAGGTGACTGGTGGGACAATGCGGGGGAGGAGATTAAATTCCTAATTTTTTATTTTTCATATTTTTTTATTTTTTTGACATTTGAATTTTTTCTCCCCTTCTAAATTGGTTTTCAATTTTTCTAAAAAAATTTTTTTTTTCTTCGTCAGAAAAATAAAACGGAAAAAGAAGATAAGAGGAAAATTAAAAAATGTTTACTAGTAAAACGAAAAAAATTCAAAATTAAAAAACCCTTTCGCGCCAGTTCTTTAACAAAAAAAAACCCTATCGATCTCGGGTTGCAAGATATCGCTGAAAAAGAAAAAAAAAGGAAAAACCTCAAAAAAGTTTTACTTCTCCAGCAAAGTTTAAAAGAAAACAAAATAGAGGGTAAGATTAAAAAATGAAAATTTCAGATAGTAAAGGAAAAACTTGGAAGTATAAAATTAGAAATTCAATTATATCCCCCGCCACCCCCCTCCCCCCCCTCATCGCGAAATTAAACAACAAAAACACGATGAACAAACATTTTTTTCCTTTGTGTAAAAAGTTATTTCTCAAACGTTAAATACGTTTACATTGTTCGATGCGTTCGACTTGTAAAAAAAATTGATTATCAGTGCGCCATGTGTTATTGGATGGCTTAGAAATATTTATCGTTCATATGAAATAAAGAGTAGAGGTGATGAATTTTTTTGCAACTAACATTGGTGATTAAATTTCCTTCGGAGGGCCGAAGAAGCGGCACATTCGGATTGTCCGGATACTTGCCAGCGTGTCTTACTGCCTCATTTTTTTTTCTATCAATACCTTTCGAGGATATCCAAATATTGTTCATAGCTCTCTTTATTTATCGATTTGGTAAATTATGTCATTCTCAATACAGTTTGCGGAGAATTTTTCATATTCCATCATTGTTAATGTGTAATTGGTATGGCTTAATTATGAATATACAATATTAGTCAATTTTTTTTCCGCTCAATAAATCTAAGATCGGTTTACTGCTAATTAAAAAAAATCAGTATATTTCTCATCATTATCTTTCAGGTCAGGGAATTGATACCACAAAATTGATAGATTTGAAATTCCGAGAATTGAGTTACATTGACTCATATCAAATGGAAGGTACACAAGCACCGACATCAGCACCAGTAATGACTTTAGATATGATATCCCAGGAGATTGAAATTTGTCGGGTATGTCCTTACGGTCTTCCTACGAATGAACGAAAAAGTCAGATCCTTAGAAAGGCTGGATAAGTTTGTTCGTAGGGAATCTTAAGAAAAATATCCAATCGATTTTGAAGCTTCTTTGGTAATTGGAGGATAATTTTTGTCACACCAATCTCGGTTTACAGCCCTAATAGATCAAACCCAGAGCTGTCCCAGAGTTAACTGTGGGTTCACCGAAAAAATCCAGACAAAAGGGAGAGAAACTCTGAGTTTTTCCCATCAACACAGATTTAACTGTGGGACAACTCTGGGTTTGGTTCATCAGAGAGGGAGGCATCATTAAATAAGTTTTGATGAATCGTAAGATCTGTGGTTGCTCATAAAAAATTTCAAACAAATTATCGGTTGAATAGCTCAGAGATTGTTTCTCGCGACGTTGAATGGTCCGATTCTATTAGCTGAATTTCGGTGACAAAAGTTATCAATTTTATCAGAACTATTGAGAATTCAATCTATTCGTTCTCTGCAGACTGAAGGTGTCTCCCAGGCTCCCACTACAAATAAAGAGAATGTCTCAGTCCCAGTTCAGGTTCCAGTCACGAAGGAATGCCCCAGTCTCCCACTACAACGTATAGAACGACAGTCAGGATTTGTAGGGAAAGCTTTGCTTTTCCAATTTTTCTCGGTCAAACACGTACTCAAAAGTGATGTACATGGTGGAGAAATTCTCTCAAATTATAAAAAGAGTAACAAATTCACGCATCCTAAATGGGCTCGCAATAAAATTGCTGAGCTGGTTGTGAAGGCAGCAGTAAAACAGCTAAAGAGGTACTTTACAATTTCCTCCTTTTTAACTTATTCATTAGACATTTACAGATGATAAACATAATTTACCACTTAAAAATTAATTTCACCAGGTTGGACAAAGAGTGCTTCAAAATTTTAGCTACGAAAATTGTAGAGGAGTTCCCCACAGAAGATCTGAGAATTTACTACTTTCCCCCTATTACCGGAAACAAAAAATTGAAACAAAAAGCTGTTGGACCTAGAGGAAAAGCGCCCAACGTTTATCGCAATTTGATCGCTAAATTGTCACTTCTCAAAAAGGGTAGAGTGGCACCAGCTGTGGAAAAAGAGGCACCACCAGGTAATCGTAATTAAAAATTTCAGTTGATCTCATTCAATTTCATTTTGATCGTCAGTTTTTCCTCAATCCTTAAAATCCCTCGACCTGAATTTTAAAATTATTGAACTTCAAAAATATAAACGAATTTGGAGATGGAGCTATTTTGTATTTAATTTTAAAGTTAACTGCCCCGAGAAATTAGGAATGATAAGAATTTATCTTCATTTTAAGAATTTATCCTCATTTCTTCACTTGAAATTCATATTTTATTTTCCGAATCAATATTTCTTGGAAATTTTCATAATAACTTCACGTATAAAAATGTTCAGCAGAAAGCCAAGCGAATTCGCTAGAAAATTCTATAAGGTTTCTCTAGAATTCCTATTGCAATTCGACGAAAATTGTATTGGTGTTCTATTAGGATTGTATTGAAACATTCTATTTGTTTTTTGCACCATTTCTGTTAGAAATATTTAATAGAAATGATAATAGATTCTTTTTCTATCAAAATTCTTGCGCGTAAATTTTCTAAGTTTTTTTCACTGTATTTTCATTTCTTTCTCTTTATAATACCTGATGAGGAAAAAAAACTTATAAAATTGAAGGTCCATATTTTCCATAGAAAAAATATCTATTGCCTTTCCTATTGAATATTTCTAATAGAAATGGCGCAAAAAACAAATATAATTGTTCAATAGAATTCTTATAGAACTCCAATAGAAATTCAATAGAAACCAAATAGAATTCTAATAGAATTTTGTAGCGAATTCGCTAGGTTTTCTATTGAGTTTTCAACTGGCAAATAAAATGCACAACAGTTATTGGGTTCAAAAGTCTTTCAAGATGTCTAGCTCATTTACCACGCGATAACCGCTAACTCTTCGTCATTTCCGATTTTTCTGAAATATGTTGCGACGGATGGACAATCAGTCTTGCACGAATTTCAGCAATCTCTCCATTTTCCTCACTCATACTCATTTAATTTTCCTCATTTTCTCATTATGATGAAGAGATCGATAATTCAGTTGATTCATATGAATAATTTCCAATGTCATAATAGTGGTCAGCCTTCAAGGTGAAGAGCAACGAGAGTGGCTTAATGTTAATTCAGAACCATGGGATTTGGTCTGCACGAACTTCGCTGCTCTGAGAGATGTGCGTTTTGCAAAGGCTGCTGCCTCAAATGAGGATGTCACTAGAATAATCAATCAGTGGCCCATTTTCACGGCTGAAAAAGGTTATAAGTTGATTCTGGACGACTTTGCAGCACTTCCTGATGTTCCTGAAACCCAGTTGACACATGCAAAGTGGGATCAATTCGTGAATGAACTTAATTCCATTCGCCCAATCAAAAGTCGTGATCGAGTTAAGATGCATTGGATCGAGTTGATCGAGCATCAAGACACGAACGACGACAGCAAAGTCGCCCTTCAGATCCACCTTTTGGCCCATAATCTTCCTCCTCAAAAGAAGATATCTCGAAGATGGAAGCCATCTATTCCAGACTGTCAAGACAGTATGCTGATTCTGACTGAGGTGTGTATGATTGACACTTAACGTAAAGCAACTTTACACTAAAATATCAGCGTGTGATGTGGATTAAATATTATGTGAACATTAATTAGGCAGTATTTCCATAAATTCGTACTTGCACGGAAAAAAATGTTGAAAACCGTTCGGCTAGTAACAACATTTATCTTTGTTTGTCGAAATTTTTCTAAAAAAATATCACTTATTCGATAACTTTATAATCAATCCAATGGAATGTCTTTTTTCGATGAAAACAGTCAGAAATTATTCAGTTTAAAATCATAAACAAACAATGAATATTTCAATTTTTTCTCTATAGATCATTCTTATCTACCAATATTTGCCATAAATCTCAATGAAATGAAGTGATGGGAGGGAGATGGGGGGAGGGTTGGAAAGGATTAGTTTTATAATTTATTATGCGAAAAATTATTCTTCCGGCACTCCCATCATCCGGCTTTTGGGGAAATTCATCCTGAAATTTTTCTTTATTCCTTTGGTTTTGGATATCTTGTGACAGAGGTCCAGTTGGATACGTATTCTATTTCAAGGACTACACTTAGAAGACTTCGTCGAATTGACATTTACTTTGCAATTAACTTTTCTACTAACGATGATAGTAATAACAATCGATTTTCTCTAGTGTATAAATTTTCCCTCCGGTCAATAAATCCAAACTCATCAAAAAGCTATCAGCAAAAGTATGACAACTTTTACTGTTTGAATTGCCCCAAAATTCATTTTTTCGTTTTTCTAAAAAATTGAAAAAAAAAGTTATTGTAGAAGCGATTATAACAAATTATTTTGGTCAATGAGCTAAAAACTTATTGATTATTTCCATGAAATTATTGATCATATACAAAGAATGATTTATTTCGTTGCAGACTGAGGAAAGTATTGATCTCACTGATTGATCTCACTGAGAGAATGAAGGTGGCAAAAGGGCGCAAGCAATTCCTGAAACCTCTGATTGTTGTTGTTGGGAGCACGATAGCTGCGGTGACTAACGTATACGGCTGTGTAGGAGGAGTCAAATATAAAGTGTCTACATTCCTAGAGGCACTAGATCTAGTGTTCAAGGCCATCAGTGTCTTCAACATCAAATTCCCTGCCGAGAGTAATCATATTTGGGGTGTCATAAAGAACGTAGTGTATGGAATCCCAGTCAATGACGATGGAACAGTCGCCGAGGTATTGACTGACTTGGCCGAATCAAGAGCCACTGGAGAACTATCACGAGGAGTGATTGAGGGAGAAATTTGAGGAGCAAGTATTCAGGCAACAGTCTCCATGGAGACCTAGACGATGTAATGTGAGAATCATTCCTAATCTTCAAATTTTGTCCCCCAAATGTTTTTATTGGAGCCTATTTATCATTTTTTTTTTACTTTCAGTATTCAAATTTATTGATTTATTATTTAAAGTGAAGAAACATATCGTATTAGGAGATAAATTTCTATCTAGCTTTACGAATGATGGAATGCCAAATGATATTAAGTTGATTTAATATAATTTTTATATTTTGTAGTCAATTCAAAGACGTTATTCTCATTCAGAGTGTGATATGTAAGTCATTGAATGTGTTCGATCTCTGAAACGACTAGGTAATACGATGTTCTCCTGTCCGATTTGTGCCTACATCAATCTACTCACGGGAGATTTTATTGTCCCCACTCGAATTGTGGTGCCTCATTTAGCAGTATATATAGATATAAATCTCATTTGCTAAAAATTCACGTATCTGAAACTGGATCACTTTCATTTTATGATGAAATGCTTGCAAAGAAGAGAATTCGAATGCATGAAAGTGATCGATCTCAGTTTACTGAAGCCATCTTGGACCCACCGATCGTCATCGAGCCAGTTCAACCAAAGACCCAAGGATCTAGTTCTAGAGATGATGAGTCAAGTGACACAGTTATGCATCGAGTATCTTTGAGTTCATTTACAAATTATGAAACACACCCAGTTGCATCGTCTTCTGATTGTAGCTCGCTTAGCATTTTCTTGCATGATTTAGAAAAAAAACAAGCTAATGTAGTTGCCACTCTGGCATGTAAACTGTATGCTAATGATTCATTGAATCGGGCGACAACCCACGAAATTTTGAATATTGTTAATGAATATCAGGCGAGTACACTGCAAACCATTCGTGAAACTTATCAGCTCTCCAACTGTTCTGATTCGCTAAAGATGAACATGACCCTCGATGTCTTGTAAAATTCCTTATTTGATTTTAGTACAGAATATAAATCATTTGAATATTTCAAAAATTATGGATATTTCATCCAACCGGAATTGGTCGCAATAGAGTCATTATCTTCTCATAAAACCACCAAGAAATCACAATCACAGCCACCAAAAAAAACACCCACCATTACATGCGTTTCAATGAAATTAGTCCTGAAAAAGTTTTTAGAATTGCCTGGTGTCTATCCGTCCATCGTAAAATCGTTAGATCAAAATGAATTTTCTAGTGTTATTTCATCAATGGTACAGGGTAGCGTATGGCAATCAATCAGAATTCGATTCAAAGACAAAAGAGTTATTCCATTAAATTTAGTTTCTGACGCTTATGAAGCTAATAATCCATTGGGAAGCCATCGAGGGTTGAAAAAAATGAATGGTGTGTATTATTCAATCAGTTGTCTTCCGCCCGAGTTTGCCAATCGGTTAGAAAATTTTTTTTTAGCGCAGATACACCGAGAAAAGGATTACACTGAGTTTGGAAATAAAATCATTTTTTCTCGTCTCATAAAGGAGATGGTTGAATTGGCGAACGATGGAATTGTCATAGACATTGATGGTCGCGAGGAGACGGTATATTTTGCAGTGGCTCGAATTTTGGGAGATAATTTAGGGTTGAATGCTCTCCTAGGCTTTGAAAGAAGTTTTAATGCAACTTATTTCTGTAGGACCTGTGAAGCCACTAAAACAATGACTAAGACACAGGCAACTGAAAGGAAAGTTTTGCTACGAAATAAGAATAAATATCAAAAAGATGTTTCAAATTGTACTCGCGGTATTAAAGAAGAATGCGTTTTTAACCCCGTGATAGACCATATTTGTGAACTCCCTACAGTAGATCCGACCCATGACATCAACGAAGGAATTGCTCGATATGGAATAAGAGAAATTTTATATAATTTAATTCTGGTAGAGAAATTTTTTACAGTTAAACAGGTAAATGAGCGATTATTGAGTGTAAACAAACAGCTTGCAGCTGGAACGAACGTTCCCCCTCCCTTTTCTCGTCAACAAGTGAAAAAAAAAATGATCAAAGTTTCAGCATCTGAGATGACTTTTCTTATCTTACATTTGGGTGTGCTTGTAGGAAAGTATGTTCCTGCAGATCACAAAATGTGGCAACTGTACAAAATGTTGAGAAAAATATACTGTTTAGTAATGGCTCCTAGCTTCACTCAAAAAACTCCTAACTCTTTGAAAAGTCTGATAACAAGACACCACAAATTGTACTTGGAATTGATTGGAAAATTGAAGCCCAAACATCATTTTTTACTCCATTATAGTCTAGCAATGAAAAAATTGGGCCTATTGCGTTACGTTGCTACCATTCGGTACGCAGCTAAGCACAAAGAGTTCAAGCACACCGCAAATATGGTAACTACTCGGATTAATCTCGGTTACACTCTTGCTCAAAAGCATCAGCTTCAGTTAGCATATCGTTTTTACCTTAATAAGCCGCTGGAAAATTCGATAACATTCGGTAAACAACACATTCACCGTCTCACATTGCTCGATAATGTAGAATCTTTTAAGGACGCTCTTCCAGAAGGAATAAATGATCAAATTCGTTACTTATCTTGGATTAAATTTGATGGGACAATTTATAAAGTGGGCATGGCAGTATGCATTCAGCCCCATAATTCCCTTCCATCATTCGGGGAGATAAAACATATTTTCGAAAGTGATGATAAGATTTATTTTGTAATTCGTAAATTGGAAACGGTTAAAAAGATCGAACACCTTCAATCGTACCACGTGAGACCAACCGAAAATTGGCAAGTCATGACAAAAGATTTCCCAAGTCATATCACTCACGACATTTTCGTCTTACCTTGTGAATTATACCATGTGTTATTTCGTGCCTTTAAATGTTAAATATTTTTGGTATCAATCATTATAATTTTGATTATTAATCAGAGTTTTTGAAGTAACTAGATAAAAAAGAGAGAGATGGTTAATGAGTAGTTCGTCGTGAATAATTTCATAATTTTTTTTTGCCCAAAAAGGATTGTTTTGTTTTTTTTTGTCAGAAAGATATTTTTTTGGTTTCAGAAAAGTTGAACCTATCTTTATTCTAATTGATCGACATAAGGTTAATGAATGAAATTAAGGAGAAGAAAATGGGAGAAAATTCAAAGTCTTCATTGAAAATTAGTTGTTTGCCTTTTGTTACCAAAACGCCTGTGTGTGCTAATATTCAATTATAAGTTACCAATGAGTTCGGATCCGTAAGAATTGATGTTGTCATGAAAAATAGAGATGTTTTTCTTACGAATAAAGTTTATGATAAAACCATTTGATTGTATTCTCTACATATTTACTATAGAATCGATATAAGACAAATTGAATGATCATCGTGTTGCCTTCTACACATGAAATCAACTGAAATAATTGGATATTTTTTTATGTCAAATCGAAAAATCGTTGGAGCCATTGCACGAGGTATTGATACCTATGAGAAGGTTTTTCGACTGAGAACTGCAGTACTGGTGTCGTAAAACAGAAAAAAATGGAAGTCACAGAAAAATATATTGAACCATTAAATTTTTTGTTGGTGAGAATGCCAAAATGATTCTATTGAAAAGATTAAAATTTTCATCCAGTCGTATTGAGTTAAAAACCTAATTGTAATATAGTCTGATGAACGTATTAAGGATTAGAATTCTAACAAATTGCTTTTTGTTCAAATGCGATTTGTATAAATTGCAAGTGCATGAGACATAACAGAGATAACATTTGAACTGGCATCCAACGAATATCTGATTGCTTCCGGTGAGCTAGCGTTCGACTGGATGGGAATGTGATAAAGTTAAATATATATTGAATGGGATTTGACGAAGGTAGTTTGAACTTCATTACTCATAATGTTATTCCACAAATTTGAAAAATTTGTCTCAATCATTTATGATTTCGAACGAATTGGAGAATATTTCTTCTTTATCCAATGAGTATTTAAACTCAACTCGTTTCCTAAACGCCGTGAAAGCCCTTGGGATTAGAGTGCTGATAGTTTCTTCTTCGTTTAAATGTTTTTTGTATAAATTTGAAGCACGTAAGCCTTAAAAGAGACCAATTATGAATTGACATCTGGCGAATATCGGATTGCGTCCAGTGTGCTAGCACTCTGAAATATGAATTCGATTGAGTCAAATCTGGATTGGATGTGATTGAACCAAGGTAGATTGACCTTCATTATTAGATAGTTCGATCGATAAATTTGGAAAAGTCGGCTCAATCATTCATGTTTTTGGATAAATTGGGTAATATTTCTTTAGTATCCAGTGAGTGCTTAAATTCAACTCGCTTTCTGTAAGCCACGAAAAATCTCAATGATAGATTTTAAACAGAAATTCAACCATTCAAAAAAATTCATAATTGTATTACAATTATCTTTCTTTACTCAAGAGAAGCAATTAATTGCCTCAAGGAAAAATGTAATCGATTTGAAAATTCATTCGTTCTGATGATGAGGATTTTCGACTTGCAAGTATAGAAAAATAGATAGTGCTAAGAGAAAATATTTTTCTGTCAATTCAACTTATTTTGGATTGAAAACATCAAAATTAACTCAATATCTCGGTGGTGCAATAATTTTTTTTTTGCGACTATTCAAGTCGATGAACCATTTCGATCAATGAGATCATTTCTGTTTCTCAGAAATTTTTTTTCTCCGTGTACGCATAACTGGTGCATTGTCAGCTGAGACATGAGTATTTATATTTTCTATTGACCGGGGAATATAGACAATTTGGGGAGAATCCGTAGGGAAAATGTTTGCACGGAAACGAAAGTTGTCCGGAGTAGATTGTTTCAAATCTAACAACAAATAACCATGAGGTTTAGATGTAGCATCAAAATATGCTTCCCGTAAAAAATTGGAATTTTCTGGGTATACTTGGCGAGCCAAATGACTAATCTGAGCGCGATCCTGAGGATTTTTAAACAATAAAATATAATTACTATTGAGAGAAATATCGCTTCGCCCTCTACCCTGATGAAATAAGTTTTGAAATATAAAAATAACACTCAAATTTTTATGATGGCTTCATTTTGTGAAAAAATCCACAACAGTGCCCCGCTATGTGAAGATTCGCGCATAAGGTCGTCAAGAATAACGAGTTTTGCATCATTATCATCGGCAAAATCCGCTGAAGCTGGTAGTCCTTCACGAAATTCTACAAAATTTCGTCCGTAATCATTAAAACTGGGCTGCCATTCTGTACAATAAACTCTCATTTTTGAAAATTGTGCATCACACATTTGATCAATTTCACGTAGGAAACGCTTGACAAATAGTGTCTTCCCACAACACGTGGGACCGCACACAATAGCTGTAAATGGATGTTTTCAACGAGGATCCATGATTCCAACTGAGGGATAATGAACAGGGATGTGTAAATAAATACTTTCACATCTGTTATGTAGAAACATTTTTATAAAAATTTTTCAACCGCTATTTACAAATTTGATTTACAAAGATTGTCCATATATACATAATTTCAATGACTAAACCATAGTTTTTTAATAAATAATATCACAATAAATAATTTTTCAATAAATAATATCACAATAACTAATTTTTCAATGAATAATTTTCCAATAAATAATTTTACTAAAACTAATTCAGGCGACTCCTTTTTTGAGAGCGATACCTGTGGGGTACGGATGAGCTACCGACTCGTTTTCGTTTGGTACCGGTGACTATAACAATTTTCTCCTCGAGACGGGTGACTACCTGGTGCTGTGCTTTTCTGCGTATACCTGTAGTGTCGACAGCAAATTCATCGTCATTGTCGATCACAAGCCTATGCATGGCCTGGTAGTTGACTCTCTGGGATGTTTGAGAGTCAATCTTAATACCTTTTATTTTACAGCACTCAAACTCGGTGCCATCGGGTGTCACACCAATATAACTACAATAGTAGGAAGGAAATGATGCGGCTCTCAACCCCATAGCAGGCCAGTTCATCAGTCATTTCACCCAGCGCATTCCCTGAACGGGGGTTAGAGTCACCCTCTCTAGTTACAAAAATAACGGAGTCGGTGTCATAATATAAAACTCGCTCGCTTAACATTTATAAATACTTATATAATTCTAACCTAGCTTGGGCAGTCACATAAGCAGCAACCACTACTATATCTTGTAACGTTGTTTTCCCCGGAGTGTTCCGTAAGTCCGGGGAATTGGTTACCTTCGCCGGTTCCGTAGCATCCGCGCTATTACTGGGAGGGCGCCAGCTGTTTTTATGTGGGTAAAACAGCAAACCCGGATTCCGCCTAGTTGTTAAGGAGACAACTAGGAAATACCATATATACCGCCTAATTGTTACGGACACAATTAGGAAAGACCGAAAGCCCGGTAGAGGTGGGGGTTATCACCTCTACAAAACATGGACGGACGATAGGACAGAATGGTGGGGTTAGCTCATTCTCGCGACAGGACAGACAAAGGGTTCCGCCTAGTTGTTAAGGACACAACTAGGAAATACTGAGAAGTTCCGCCTAGTTGTTAAGGATACAACTAGGAAATACCGAGATTGCCAATAAGTTAAAACTAAGTGCATCACCAGAGGTCGTCGCTGTCCCCTCCCCGGGGCGCGGCGAGGACATCTGGAGACGTCCCGCGAACTGCCGAAGTGGCGGATGTAGAAATGGAACGCGTGCGGGAGCACTGGGTCGCTCAGTATGCTAGGTTGTGGAGAGAGGGTCGGTTTTTTTAGTGTGATCAGTCTCCGTTAGCGTAGGAAGGTTGGT